TCGCATTGTTCTAACCTCTAGGACTGGTTGACATATGGGCCATACTGTCTAACATTGTAGTTACATATTCTAGTAACAGTAGTAGTGCAGAGCTGCAACAGAAAGGAGCAGGAGTGATCTTACTGCTTTTTTTTTCGATCTGGAACGTAAAAATCGAGATTTTCTTTTGAAAGTTGGAACCAACCAAAGTTTTCCTACACCTCTTATGGCTCTACAAAATAACGTATGGGTTGAGAATGGTACGAAATTTGACTTCAATTTAGTACAACTGGCGTCCAAACAGCAGCACCAGATACATCCAAGGTGGAATGGTGGACCGCATCTTCCTTATATATAGTGATCGTTCGATACCTACGTGAGTATGAATCTGGGCGTATAAGCGCCTAAAAATTTTTAAAGTGGGAATCGCAACGTTCCATTGCTCGTCATGGGAAGAAGCGTTTCCTGCAAGTCTAGTACATTTTTCTTTAAATATGGTTCGTTCAGATCATCTTGGGATGCTTTGCAAAAAATGCTGAAGAGCAGAGGAATACAGTTTGGAAAAATAGTACCCTATCTCATCAGCTTCGCAAATGCCTTGGATATGGAAAGTCAGCTGGTAGATGCGTTCAAGAAGGTTCTGTTTGCAATTTTCAGATTTTGGAACTAGTTGCAACAATGACATACCCTCCTACGGGTAGGACCTTAACGAGTGTTGGAAAAAATATTAACATTATTTGCACTACCTGGATTGTTGATGTAATTCGTGAGATGCTTGGCCTTAACTTGCTTGTCCCACATGCGATTTTGAGATTCCCAAGAAAGGATTTCAACAGCTCTTTCCAAATTGTTCGTTCCTTTTGTTGTCAGAGCAGTTGGCCTTGTACATACCTGCTACCTTGTGTTTTGGGAAAGTATCAGATCATCTCTTCGAAGCCCATGACAGTGCTCTTCAATCTCTGGTTTCAACGATGTAATATCACTTCCATTCTCGTCCTCGATCGGGTATGCCGTGCGCCTATTGGCTTTCAGGATTGCAAACGCTGTTAAAAGCGCCTGGCAAGAATCACCTCAAAAAATTGTCTCAATAAATCTCTCACGAATCGTCCTTATTACTAGATCTTATAGTTGGGGGTGAAGCAGTGTCTTTAATTCTTTCTTCCTACTTCCGTCTGTTGTAGTAAAAACTAAAGCACAAATTGGGAGCATCATTGGAAGGACTACACCACACGTGTTTTCTGAGTCTTGTTCTTTTTACGGCCAATTCGCGAGCCTACCTCAGTGATATTCCTGCAGTCGTCCGCTGACAAAAACACTCAGCTTATGCTGTTTAATGTTTCGTGTGATATGCAGAAATTCGCCTCCAAAAGTCGTATGGGTATTTTTTCAGAAGTTACTCATTCTTATTGGATTCATGTTTTCAAAGGAGAATTTCACGATAAAAACGAAGGTTAAAGAAGGGGAAAATTGCTATTGGATAGACAGGCGGACCTCCTGAGGGTGCGGACTGACACAATTGGCAGCGAAAGATTTGACCTCGGCGATCTAGCATGGCTCACTCTTGGCGCAGTTGGCGCATACGCCCACCGACCATCTAATCACTCGCCGCAGGTCTATACGCTGGCGATGATTAGATAGCAGGGAGAGCATGAGCTTTGCAGTGTGCATAACGATACAAGTCGCACAAAGATATCAACGGCCCAGGAATAGTCCCACTTCTCGGGTTACGGGCTGTCTCATGGTTTTTCCTTTTTTCTTGTATTATACATATTTATTATTATCAGTTCGACGTTATAACAAGGGTGGCTTATAAAATAAAACTCAAGTACCGATAGAAAGAACATCAAGGAACTCATCCAATGAACATCAACAAGTGTTCAAAATAGCTGTAGTGTGAGCTAGTTGTATAAATAAAAAAAGGGGAAGGGGGAGAGGAGGTAGGTCCGCTAACGTTGCTGAAGTCCACATGCCAGAGCGGTAGAATGTCGAAGGGGGAGGGGCAAGGCAAAAGACGCATATAAAACAACAGAAAACCACTTGTACCACTCCTCCATCCTTAAATTAATTTGGAATGGATGCTTTTTCATCGTAAATTCTGCATTTAATAAGCAAAGCGATGATTATTTGGATTGTAGAAAGGAAGCATCTTGATTCTAGTGGTTTGAGAGCTTTTTATAGGTACTCGCGGAAAAGAAAATGAGGAGATCAGTGTTTATCGTACTCGTGGACTCGGTGGAAAATAAATCGCATGGTACTACGCATTTTTATGATTTATTGGTTTATGATGTGATATATTATGGTTTATTTATTGTGGATCATACATCATATTATGAGTGTGATTTACCAAGTTTAGGCCATTCATATCATTTCAGACTACTTAAAATTATTGGAGCGGAAGTTTTTGATACCTACGCAACACATGACAACAGATGTTGCTCATGGACTTTCAGCGTAAGCATTTTTTGCTACAGTATAATTGTTATGATGCAGAAGTAGTGATTCTTGAGAGTTTAGTAAGAAGGATCTGTGATTGTTTCGAGCGTTAAGCTAGTGATTCTTGTCCTACGATATTTGCTATCAAATAAGTTTTCCCTGGTTTTGCACCCAGTTCTAATTGCTTAATTCTGTTTGGATCTTTAGCTTTTTGTCTTTCATGATTTGCGGAAATATTTTAGCGTGGTATACATTTAGGAAGCCACAGTCTTGCGCAAACTTCGTTTCGAAAATGAATCTCAAGCTCGGTGGCATGAATTACGAAGTCGTACCGGAAAGTTTCGCGTATGTTTTAGGTTTTGGTACACGCGGGGGGGGGCGGGGGTGGAGCGGGTCTGTAAACAACACCAATTCATTGGGGGATCAGGATGATTTAGGTACCGGTATCGAGTAATATTGATGCACTTTTGCAATAGAATATCCTCTTATTCTTATTATCGCTAAACATCCAGCTGGACATTCTCAGCGACTTTGAGACTGTAGCGGTGGAAAGGTATTTTATGCTGATGACAACAACGCAATGAGATGATACTGAAGTGAATTGCGTTATCTAGAGTATGGTTCGGAGTGGTCTCTATGCTCCTACAAATATCGTAATTATCGGCCTTATCGGCCCTTATCACTTCCTGTACCCCACCGAACATGTTCCCGTCCCACCCTGTACATCACTTCTTGGAACCAACGCCCCACTGCTGCTGGGACGCGCGCTATGAATTTCGTGAAATTTGCGTTTCAGCGCCTCTTATCAACCCTTATCAGCCCTTATCACTTCCTGTACCCCACCGAACATGTTCCCGTCCCACCCTGTACATCACTTCTTGGAACCAACGCCCCACTGCTGCTGGGACGCGCGCTATGAATTTCGTGAAATTTGCGTTTCAGCGCCTCTTATCAGCCCTTATCAGCCCTTATCACTTTCTGTACCCCACCGAACATGTTCCCGTCCCACCCTGTACATCACTTCTTGGAACCAACGCCCCACTGCTGCTGGGACGCGCGCTATGAATTTCGTGAAATTTGCGTTTCAGCGCCTCTTATCAGCCCTTATCACTTTTAGACCACCACCAAGTATGTTCCCTACCCACCCTCTATATGCTTTATATATAGTAGGGATGGATGAGGCTATTGTGTTGAGTGAGACCATTCACAGCTTCAAGAGTGAATTTCATCGTTTTGGTACTCGTTATTCTTGCAACGAATATTCAGTGCCATGAAGGAGTACCTCTCACAATATAGTGCACGATTCTACCTTGTGAAGAATGCTTGAGCAAAACGTCTTATTTCTCCTGACTTCGAATTACTGCAAGTAGAGCAGTGAAAATCGTGTGAATTTTGACCGAAACGGCTCAGCGCGCTGCACCATTTCGATTGACGTTTTCAGACAAAATGTATGGATTTCAAGAGGGAAGACCCTAATAATCGGTTACGACGTTGCTCATCCTGGGAAGCCTAGTCGTGATGAGCTCATGAACAAGATGCCGCCACAGAAGCCAAGTGTTGTGGGGGTGAGATTTTTTGGCAGCCACTCTCTCTGAACTTAGGTAGTACTGGGCTTTGATGTTAGAAAATTTTTTCTTAGTTCTCGTTCAATGGAGCTGTGCACTGCGAGAAATTCATTGGCGATTACCACTACCAAAAACCACGTCGCGAGCAGGTATATCTTCAGGATTGGGATCAATAGTATTCCACCGTACTCAGTTTCTGACGCAATATATGTCAGGTTGATACTTATGTTTTAAACGTTCGCGTCAAATGGATGCTCGGTTTGTTCATCAAAAACCGAAAGGTATGGCCAGAAAGTGTTGTGGTTACGCGAGATGGTGTGTCAGAAGGCCAATACAGGATGGTACTGTTCTCTTTTTCGAAGAGCATTATTATGTAAAAGCAGACGCATCGCAGGTGGTTGAGGACGAGCTCCATGCCATAAAGCAGGCCTGTGAAGAGTTTGGAAGACTTCATGGAAAAGATGCATGGGTTCCGCGTTTTACAGTGGCTGTAACCACGAAACGGCACAACGCACGCTTCTTTGCCAAAAACAATGGTGAGTAGAAGCTTCGCTCTGAGACAATGTGGGCAACCGTTTTTGGAAACGTACTTTGCTGCCCTTGGGACATACAGATGAGAGCGATGAAGTGTGGGGTGTGGCAATAGTCTCGCTACTTCAAATACCTCGGTGAGTTGGATTATCGGCAGAATACTTGAGCTTTTCCTCAGTTGAGCGATGACTACTCTGTTTATGCTGTCACGAGTGCGGTGAAGTTTCTGGTGTAGTTTTTGATAGAGAAGCTTTTCGAAAGATATTTCGACTTTTTCATTTTTCTGAGCACCTAAAACTGGACTTCTCAGTATTGCGGCTGTAGGCTTCGAAATAGCTGTTCCAGTCGGAGTTTATGAGGAGTGAAGGACGAGCGCATGGCTTGTTTTTTCGTTGCCGTCAATTTTGAAGCAGTGCAATATTTCAACTCCTCGGTGAATGCTCGGGATCTGCTAGTTAGTGCTGCGGTTTTATAAAGAACGTTAAGGTATCGGAAATCCAAAGCCAGGGACTGTCGTCGACACGGATGTTGTGCGGAATGACCTCACAGAATTTTATATGCAGAGCCATCATCCTGTGCAGGTACGTTTCGAGTGACATGTATAACACCGACGTAGATTTATGGCGGTGGCGGAGGCGGGTCGATCGTAGATATGGCGACCATCTAAGTGGGCGCGGTTGCAGGTCGCGTCCTCGCTTCATTCTTAGCTGAACAGAACGGTTCACTCCACTTGCCACTCAGACCTACTCGAGCTACACAGGCTCCTCTTTTATTCAGAGCTACCTAGGCCCCATCTTCTGCCTTTTGGATTAGGCGCCTTCGTATCCCGGCAAGAGCTCACGCCGCTCCTCAACGAGTCAAGAAGGTTCCTAACTCAATAACCGAGTAGCACCAAAGCACTCCTAGAGGATCACAGCCGTCGGAGAATCTCCAGTTACGAAGAGAGAACGAGCAGCAACTTGGAAAAGCAAAATCTGTGGGAACAATCTCCTTGCCTCTCATCGCCTCTCAAAGGGGCCTTCCCACGCCCCTGTCTTTGTACTCAAGGACACTTTGCCAGTGGCAAAGTAGTCTCAATTTTTACTGACTCGCCTCCGGCAAATTCTTGATCCCACGCGACCACCCTCCGCCACATCGACCCGCTCGGTGGAGGTGTGTTTGTAAGCCCATTCGAAAGATAGGAAGCAGTTTTCGTAGGATTTCTGTCGAACGTCATGCCAAACTGATTATTTGCATCTGTTTTACAAAACATACGCGACACGACGCTTGGAAGGTGCGCACAAGGAGTACAAGCTGGTCTGTCACCAAATTGGGACCCGCATCCGCCTCATTTCCTGTAAAAGTTTGCAGTTGGGCTGCTGGCAAGGCTTCAACCAGTAATTACTTATTTCTTTTCGCTTTAAATTCTCTGCCAGCGTCATGTGCTTTACTGACCTTTTCCTATTACTGCTGCACACGTATTAGGTTGTCTCATAAGTAGTGGCGCATTTTTTCAAACGGAAATTTTTCTTGTGAACCTCTAATGTTTTACAATGTTTCATATACCATTCGATAGGAAATTATCTGCTCTACAAGAAGGTATGTACCCTTTTTTTGATTGTTGCAAATTGTTTGAGTTTTAGGCATGCAAAGTGGGAGCTTCAGACGACGAATTTTCGCCAAACCGACAGCTGACCTAAACTTTATAATTCCCTAGAAGAAATCAATCAATAATGTAACTATAACTTACTCATAACCTCTACTAAACATTCCACATTTAGGTTCCCTAAAAGCTTGTCTCGTTTAATTTTGAGATTTAGTTATTCCAGTGCAACTCGGTGGTCGCCTGTCAACCCATAGAGCTTCGTTCAGAGTGGAATTTTCCATTCCGATTCTTAGGTATTGACGCCACTTTATACACCTTTATAAAGTGATTCTTCTGCTCTACTTATTTGCATTACGACCTTGGTTTTGATATCAATCATCGTCGAGTTTTAGCGTAGAAAATGGTGGTATGTCAAGTCGACGAGAAGGAACACTTCCCGGCCACCTTCTGCTCTGCTTCACAAATGCACGGGCTCGAGTGCACACAAACGGCGGCAGGGCTGACACCGCAGTTGCAACTGGTTTAGTATCAAATGAACTGCGAAAACTCATACTAAACGAGACAATGCTTCTTAGAGGAAACCTCAACAATATGCGCATAGTGTATAAAGTAGATGGTACTCGGAAGTTATAGTTACATTGATTGACAGACTCTACGTCCTCCTGTTAACTCCTGCGGGACCACTCCCTTTCTTCTGGCAAACAGTGCAAGCTTTTCTATCCTCCGCTATGTTCCCTTCCTCCTGTGACACCAACACCTGGAAGTGACGCGTATGCAACACAATGGTGTTTCATACAGTAGAAGGGACACAATCGTGATATGGCGGTAGATTTTTCGCTTCCCTTCATCCTCCCTTCCTCTCTCCACTGCCCTCCAGCTGCCACTGCAGCACGATGTGGAATGAACGGAAGTCTGCTAAGAAGGTGTTTATATAGCCCCTAAGAAGATGGTATTATCACACTGTCTTATCCTGCTACAAAACATTGAATATCTCAAATCCTGTAAGCTACCCGATTTGTTAGCGGTTTGTTTATCCCATGAGCTTCCTTCTCACTCACTTCATTTTGCGGACGGACACACATACATACATACACACACACACACACACACACACACACACACATACAGATACACAAACCGACACACAAAGTTAGCGCTTTATAATATAGAAGGATTTTCTTCGGGAAAAAGCAGGGTAAAGATAAGGTCAGCATGTCGCTGTGCGCGGCGAAAATTCGTGGGCCCACGTCTGAGAGCTTCCAACTTGCATGGCCGTAAAACTCAAACAATTTGCACATGCAAAAAAGGTATTGAAGGCCATACCTCTCTATGTTAGAGGCAGCGGATAAATTTCCTAATACGGACAGTGGTACTATGAATCATTGTAAACGATTACAGGTTCTACAAGAATTTCGGTGTTGACGAAAGATCGCGCGCACTCGTATGAAACAATTCTTAAGTATCATTACAGCATAACATTGGCTGAAGTCCGGTAGGTACGATGCGCAAGTTCTGCGCACCAGGGTTATGCAGCGTCGATTGTGTCTCAGAATTTGTCAACTGGAGGTGTTGCGTTGGCACTCAGCCACACATGTCCGCAAATTTGTGGCTCGTTCCGCGCCTTCCTACTACTCCATCCGCGCCTTACGAGTCGGCCGCATCCAGCCGGCGGGAGCTATTGCCTCACGACTGACACATAATGAGCGATAGACAACCTTAAAGGCAAGATTCGGGATAAAATAGGTGTCTAAAAGCGTTCAGTCATGATACTAGAGGTGGGAGGTGGTCTATAAAAGAGAAGGAAAGCAAACGAAATCACAGATTACGCCCCGTACAGAAACCTCCCCTATTTCAGCAACATTCCACCTTGGGATAGAGAAAAGGCGCGTTGGACGAGTTTCGCGAGCCTGACTCTAGTTGCTCCAGTGCCATTGACACAGGATCGCGGTGGGACCGCTGCCTCAAATGCGCCCGCGCTTTTTTCAGCGCGCGCCCGTCCGGCCCCGGCCGGCGGCGGGTGTGTAGGTTTGATTCATTGTTCGACCCTACTGGTATGTTAGTTGCAGGACCGGACTTTAATGCCGCTCTCCGCTCTCGGCGATTGTGAGTTTTCCCGGCCCGTGACGCCGTTTCGCTCCGTCTTCGCCACAGCTTCGTCCGCGCAGCGCCCCTGGCGCCCGCGCTGTCTCGCGCGTTCTGGGTCCCCGCCCGCTCCCGCGTGCGTTGCGGCTCTGCTCCGTGCAACCAAAAAAATAGACGTTCACGAAGTTTTTTATGATCTCTGAGTATTGTATAAGGGATTCAACGGGAGGCGTGAGTAGGTTGTTCTGCGTTCACAGCTTAACCTAATTATAGTTTGATAAGATTTCAGCCCCCGTGGTCTTTCTCTGTTAGATTTCAAATTTTTGCGGTTTCACAGCAAGCTGCCGTTTTGGGAATAAGGTACGTCTGAGTGAGTACGTGGCTGCCCACTATTGCGGGTGCTTACCGTTCTTCGCGTTATTTGTTTTAAGATGTGTTGGTCACATCACGGTTGTGATTTACTTTTCATATGTCTGGGTATTTCGAGTGTGTTATCGAGTACATTGTTTTTTGCGAATTGAAGATCCAGTGCAGGATGTATCCGCTCGGATTCTAAGGCGGATGTTGTTTGACGATTCGACGATTCCGCTGCGATGTTTTTTTGATCGGTAGACGGTTTGTCGCCGAGTGAATCGAAGCGTCTGACCCGGATGGCGAATCGGTCTTCTGCCGGAAGCGGTCGAAAATAAGTTTTGTCGGAATATAGGTGGCGGGATATTAAAAAGGGAATTCAGTGTGACGTTGAGTGGGGCTTGTTGAGTGGCGGGAGTGAGTGGGCCTGTTTGAGTGGGGGTTTTCTTTGGAAAGTTGGGGTCCGCATATTGGTCGTGGTAATAAGTTGATCGTGGGCAAGTCTCCCGATTTGTGGTGCGGGAGTCGTTGCGAACTGCGCAACGCAGGGTTGACTCTGGTTGCGGGTCGGACGAGCTGCTTGCGCCTTTGTCGCGCACTTTCAAGCGGCAAAAGGGGTGCGACATCAACACTTGTCCGCCTGCCTACTACCCCCGGGATGGAACAGGCGAGCGCGCTAATCGTGGAGCGTGCCTTTAAGCTGTCCTCAGCCATGCCACAATAGCGTGTACTCTTTCGCTCTGATTGTTAAAGGTTCTGCACGCTCAGAACTATTCTTTTTCTGAACCTCTACGATGAACTTGAGCAACTTAACTGAGATATTTGCAGGGAACGGCCAAACCAACCGCATATCAGATTCTGATAGACGAGAACGATATGAGTATGGATCAAGTACAAGCGCTGATGTTAGCTCTAACATTCCACCATCAAGTGAGTTTTTTGAGAGCTCTTGTTGGCATAAAGAGTTGTTTTTAAACGTTACAGGACCCTTGTTGTGTGCGTTGTACAACCACTTCTGTTCAGTTTAGCAGCGATCGTTATGCTAAGTAATTTGCATTGTACAATATCAAATTTTTGGTGCGGCGTGGGGACCCTCGAGACGTCTCTTATAGCTCCAGTGCTCTACCGCTTGTTAACGACGCACATCACGCTTTGAATGAGGGAAAGTGAGTTAGGGAATGGGCACTTACGGGTAGTGCATAAGGTGCTTTTCGTTTGGAACAAAGGAGTGGTGTGGATCACAGCGCCATAGCGTGCCTAGTAAAGAGGAATAAATGCCGTCAGGGTCGTTTCAGATATCGGACGCGCCAGTGTCTTTACCGGAACCGACTTATCAAGCTGACGAGTGGGCTAAGCGAGGAAAAAATTTATGGAATGCTTATATGTAAGTAGATTTTTCATTTTTAATCTGGGAAGTGATTACTTGATTGTTCAAATTTCCAGTCTAACCCAAACGAGTCTTTTCTTATAAGATCTACGAAAACATTAAGAGAGAGGGGGTGGGGAAGTGGGTGACGAAAGTATACCGTTCACCAACTCGCCTTGCAGATCAAATCTCGCCCTGGTTAGCTAAGCTTCTCATTCTTCTGTGTTTTGTTAGTTTACATGGCGGATTAACTTTCCTTCTATTCTGCTTGTTTGCAAGAAAGGCCTGAGAGGACACGACCATTGAAACGAGGGTAAATTCTGGTGTTTTAGTCAAATAATATGAGCTTCTGGTGAAACTGCAAGATAACGAATCTAGGGATATAATATGGGGGAAGCCAGCCTGTCGTATAAGCAATATTCTTTTGTCACATAATGCAGAAGTTGGATAAGATAATTGAAGGCTCCGTCACAACCCAATCACAATGGAGTGCGCCGGAGATTATGCTACTCCTCCGATAGACTTCGACGCAATGACGGACAGACTTGCTTTCTGGAAAACAGAACTCGAGCATCTCCGAGTGAATGCTTGAAAACATCGTTCAAAGAATTTCAATTCGAATTATTACGCTATGAGAATTTCAGAAATTTAAAAATGATTTTAAACATTTTAAGTGGAGACTTAGAAATTAAAATGAACAAGTGTCCCATCATAGGTTACCAATAGTGATTCCCTCCTCGGAGATTAGAGTAGGGAGTTATTATTTAGCCTTCGTGAAATATTGCGTATTGGTAGTCACTTGGTCATGCTTTTTTATCTCTTATTTAATTTATCACATCCATTTTTATTGTTTACTTGCAACTTTACTTACCGGTTCTTTTTGTCTATATATAGTGAACATTCTTCGTGGTTTATCAAATGAAGCTGTTTAAAACTGTTAATAAATGTGATGTAAAAATGTTTGTTTGCTGTGTTATTGTGGGTCAAAGTGAATAAGCCAAGAAAAATGAGATTAGATGTGAAGCAAGAAGTGGATAACCATGTTCAGTTTCTTGTCTTTGCGCCGTGTGTTTGTTCACGAATCGGATGATGGAGGATTATGGAAGAGGATTCCCAATTTCAATTTATGCAGTTGTTAATTACAAGCTAATAGTATTAGAGTATCGATACCGAAACTTGAAAAACTATAATAAATGAACATAATGAACAAGAAGTCAACCAAATCTGCGGACTTTCGATTGGTTTGACTATTTCTTCTGTGGGGTCCGTTTCCAGTGTGACGCCCACCCGAGCGCATCGTTGGGACCATCTCTAAATG